GTGGAGTTAAACCCAGATATCAGTAGATCTGTAGTGGCTCCTGAGGGCCTCAGAGTGGAGTTAAACCCAGATATCAGTAGATCTGTAGTGGCTCCTGAGGGCCTCACTGTAGATCTGAAGTGGCTCACTGTCAAACTGTAAAATGAATAGCTCTCATGTTGCCATTTTTATCCTCTACAGAAAAATGTCGACTGAGGAGGGCGGAGAAAGTAAAAACTGTCAACCTGAAATGTCGCCTGAAAGAATGGCCACCGACAAAAGCAGAGGAAACCAGAACGAGCGCAGAGTCGAGGCGACGGGAGACACTGCAGAGACCAGCACATCAGCAAAAAACCTGGCTCTGCTCAAAGCACACTCCCTGGATGTGAAGTTCGACGTCGGGGAGGAGTATGATGTCATAGAAACCATCGGTACAGGAGCCTATGGAGTCGTTTCATCTGCCAGGCGGCGGGACAGTGGTAGGGCTGATTTAACAAAGAAAAAATACAAATCTCATTTTGAATTTACTACAACGCTCAGCAATGTCCATGTGTTTCTTTCTTGAATCATGTTTGCATTTCACAGGCCAGCAGGTGGCGATAAAGAAGATCTCCAATGCTTTTGAAGTGGTGACAAATGCCAAACGCACTTTGCGAGAGCTCAAGATTCTGAAGCACTTCAAACATGACAACATTATCGCCATCAAAGACATCCTGCAGCCGAACCTCCCTCACTCTGCCTTCAAGTCTGTGTATGTGCTTTTTGTTTTCCTTGTGTACACACACGCCTCAGATCAGAATGTTTATGTGTCACTTCCAATTGTTGAGCGACCACCTGTCTAAAAGCTCATCTCTGTTCCATTTCCCATGTCTGCAGGTACGTGGTGCTGGACCTCATGGAGAGCGACTTGCACCAGATCATACACTCTGCCCAGACGCTCACCCCGGAGCACACACGCTACTTTCTGTACCAGCTACTCCGTGGCCTTAAGTATGTGCACTCTGCCAACGTCATCCACCGTGACCTCAAACCCTCCAACCTGTTGGTGAACGAGAACTGTGAGCTGAAAATCGGAGACTTCGGCATGGCGAGGGGTCTCAGTTCACACCCTGAGGAGTCTCATTCCTTCATGACTGAATACGTGGCAACCCGATGGTATCGTGCTCCTGAACTCCTGCTTTCTCTGAATCACTATACTTTGGCCATCGACTTGTGGTCAGTGGGCTGCATCTTTGCAGAAATGTTGGGGCGTAAGCAGCTTTTTCCTGGGAAGCACTACGTTCATCAGCTGCAGCTCATTTTGTCTGTGTTAGGCACTCCTCCGGAGGGTTTAATCGGTGCTATTAGAGCTGACAGGGTACGCTCCTACGTTCAGAGTCTTCCAACGAGGTTGGCCGTGCCTTTGGCTAAACTCTATCCACAAGCTGAAGCAGAGGCGTTGGACCTGCTGGCTGCCATGCTGCGCTTTGACCCTCGTGAACGAATCAGTGTGACACAAGCACTGGAGCATCCCTACCTGTCCAAGTACCATGATCCAGATGACGAGCCAATTTGTGTGCCAGCTTTTGACTTTGAATTCGACAACCTTCCAATGAACAAGGAACAGATCAAAGAGGCGATTCTGATGGAGATCCAGGACTTTCACAGAAACAAACAAATCACTCGTCAGAGACTGCAGTTCAGGCCTCTGGTCAGGGTGAATGGCGGAGCTGCAGCACAGAGCAGCAACCAGTCTAACGCTCAGGCCTCGACTGTCACCAAATCAGCATTGGTTCCCATGGCACAACACTCACAAGCAGCACAGATACAACAACAGCAAATGAGAGAAGTGGAATCTCATCAACAACAAGACCACACACCAGCAAAAGGGAACTTTACATTTACAAATGACATGCAAACCTTTAATAAGCCCACATCACTCCTAGAAGTTACTCCACCTCGTGTGGCCCATAATTTGCCCCTGCTCTCTAAAAATGAAAGTGGCCCAGTTGATGTGGACATGCCCAGTGCCAACTCAGACTGCAGTCAGCCAGAGACTATAGATTTAACAACACCAGTGTCTAGTCAGGATGCCTCCTCAGAAGCAATGAGAGACAATGAGGTTCAGGAGCAGCTAACCAGCAGTCAAGCCCCCCTGACTCAACCCACCCAGAGCCAGTCCATGACCCAGGTTCCCACCAGTGTTCCTGCAACGCCAGCACAGACCATGACACCCCTACCCACCACTGTGCCTTCCCTTTCCCTCTCAGTGGCACAAGCCCAGTCACTGTCTCAGTCCCTTTCACAGTCACTGTCAAAGAACACCAGGCCTCCTCCTGGTGCAGGAGAGGGAACCAGAAAAGAAGGAGCCATTTCAGAGGATACTAAAGCTGCACTTAAAGCAGCTTTATTAAAATCAGCTCTCAGAAACAAATGCAGAGGTGAGTGTACTGTCCTACATGTATTTCTTTTTTTAATATGTACACCGTTGAAATGTCATTCTTACACTTAATGTGATGTCTTCATCGCAGATGGAGGTATGTCTGCGCTGGGCATGGATGCTAGTGGAGGAGGTATATTGTCCTCCCTGTCATCTGTTCCGGAGTCTCGTCGGCCTGTCACAGCCCAAGAGCGTCAACGAGAACGAGAGGAGAAGAGAAGGAAGAGGCAGGAACGAGCCAGAGAGAGGGAGAGGAAAATGAAGGAAAAGGAGAGAAGAGAGGGAAAACAGGGGGACTCGCTGGGCGGGGTTCTGCTGAGTGACAACGACAAAAGCCTTTTGCAGCGGTGGACGAAGATGATGGACAGTCGCAATGAAAGGATTGTTGAAAAGGACTGTAACTCACACCAGGGCATAGGGATCAATGATAGCACTCAAGGGGCTCTGAGCAATAAAACTGACAAGGAACTGAGGAAGATTCAGCTTCACAAACAGTTAATCTCTCAAGTTAAACACAACCAGCCAAGTTTGTTCCAACCACCCAGCAGCCAGCAAACATCATTACTTTTACCCATGAGCCAGAGGAAACCCCCCGCAGATATAGTAGTTGCTGTAAGTGGAGGGATAGATATAGTGACTGTCAATAGCAGCTTTGTTAAAAACAACACGCTCAAACCCCACAACGAGGGCAACGGACAAAGTGATTTCAACTGTTTGGGGAATTGGAGCCGGCAGCAATTAGAGACAAGGCCACCTCAACAACCACAACAAAGCAGGAAACAGCAAACACTTCCTTCAGGCTTTCTTCAGCCGCAGCTCCAACCACAAACCCAACCCGACCCGCAACCTCAGTCGCAGCTGCTCCCACTGGAGAGTTTTTTGACTAAGGCTCCGACTCTAACCAGCAGAGAGACAAATGGGAATGTGGATATCCGAGGCCAAAATAACCTCAACTCCCACCCGACTACAAGAGTTGGGCCGATGGAGAAGCTGTGTCCCACCACAGGAGAGAAATCAGGGCCACAGCCGACAAACCCTCTCTGTGGGGCTTTAGGGGTCCCGTCACACCCTCATCCCAGCTTAGGATTCACAGATACAGGACAACAGGGGCCCTCCATCACCCCCGACATCCACACAGTAACACTGCAACTGTCAAAGTCCCAGGTTTGTGATATATTCTTGTTTTCTGAGGTAGCATTTTTACCTGAGACAATTCATGTAGTATGTATAAACAGACCTGTATAAAACATTTTCTTTTACATAGATTTATTTATAGAAGCCTTAAATGTCAACAATGTTCTCTTGCATTGAACTGATCTCAGGGAAACAAAGTTCTTCTGACCCAATATATTCTTCCTTTCCTGTCAGGTGGAGGACATTTTACCCCCAGTGTTCTCAGTCACCCCTAAAGGTAGCGGCGCTGGGTACGGCGTGGGCTTCGACTTGGACGACCTCCTCAACCAGTCTCTTACAGACCTGCAACACTGTGATCGGGACAGGTGAGGTTTAATGCAGCGTCAACTTCTTTTCTCATATGAACGACACCAGTGTCAAGCTGCACTGTGAATCGTTTCTAAATGTCTCAAACCAGCCAGTGAAAAAAGTGCATTCATGAGCTTTGACCAAACACTGAAAAACCTATTGTTATTTAAGGCCAGTTTAAATTTCACCTAAGTCTGCGACGGACATATAGTTGATGATTTACTTTCACTGTTTGCATTCGGTTCTACACAAATATATTTTTTTGAATCAAAAGAAGGGCCGCTCCTAATGCTTCCTGCATTCTTCTCCTCCATCAGCTATGACTCGGCTCCCCTCTCGGCCTCCCTCTTATCTGATTGGAGCGAGGTGCACCGCATGACTCCGGCTGATCTGGAATCACTGCAGCAGGAGTTGCAGCTCGGCTCTCCCATGATCCTCTCTGATACCATTCCCCCTGACGCCTGACTTTCCATTTCCTGAAAACTGGAAAGACAAGACTTGGATTTGTGTAGAAGTTATATTTTCTTCTTTAGCATGAAAACCTTAAATGAAGACTTATCAAATTAATTTAAGCACTAGTTTTTTTTATTTTTTAATCGGCACTACCAAGCTATTTTTTACCAATATGACGCTGATGCTGTCCGTTCTTTATAATAAAGAAAACTGTGTCATTGTCTGTCTTTTGTTTCTGAATATTTAATGAACTTCAGACCATTTAAAAACTGCTTTCATTACAATCAAGAAATTATTCAAAAGTGTTGTTCACAGAAAATTTCATTCTTTTTTCCCCAAATACATAATCGAAGGGAAAACAGATGATATATATGGTCATACAAGTTAGAGGCTAAAAGAGCACCAAGAATGATCAAATGAACAATTTATTTCAAATATAGAAGACATAATTTATTTAGCTAATTTTTCTGATTTAAAATACAAACCTATCAAAGCTACTTTGACTCAAAGATAATGCAGTTTCATTACAATTTTTTCTTTAGTACACTTAATGTTCAATATGGCTCCATGTGCATGTCATAGTTTTTTTAGTTGAACTATTCAGGATCACTTTGGACATAAGTTATATATTTACGATAACCCTACTTTTTTGACCTGGTTTACATTCTTCCTCCCAGAAATCCAGTTTTCAGAGTGGATTTATTTCTGCAGCAGGATCAGTAGAGTGGACAGGCAACTGACCACGATGGCAGCCCTCCCGCACCAGTTCTGATCCGCTCGGCCGTACAGCCTGATCTCTGGTATCGTGTTGCTGATGAAACTGGAGTAGCTGGTCAGTCTGGCGTACACACCCGGCTGATTTCGGTCGGCACAGCCCAGTCCGAAGCTGACCACCCCGGCCTGCACCCATGTCCCATTTATCATCTGGCACACAAGAGGCCCTCCTGAGTCACCCTGTAAATACAAACATACACATTCAACCTTCGCCACTGGGAGGTATCAAGTTCTCAAAAGGAATGTCTTTACACACTGGACGGTGAATGGCTGCAGAAAAGCAACAATCCAAGTTACTGTCAAAGCAGGTTCTTGTTTTTGTTCATCTAAACATGCCTTTGTGAACGTAAACAGCACGAACAGCTGATCCAACAGTACCTGGCAGGAGTCCTTGCCACCCTCCTGGTATCCAGCACAGATCATGTCAGACAGGATGTCCACCTGATCCGATGGGTTCGTCTGGTACATGGTCTGACATAAACGCTGGGAGATGATTGGCACCTGCACTTCCTGCAGAGTCTTGACTCCTGACAGAGGGACTGAGGGGAACACGAGGCCAGATGGAGAATGAACAACAGAGGGAGTACAAGCCTCTTAAATGTCTGCAGCAGGAACAGGTGGCAGGCACGCTTTATTCTACTATCAAGGTTCAATGGGCGTGTTCACAGGTTTAATTATAAAGGGTTAGAACTTGTCTTTGTGTAGAAATAACCAGGGTGTCAATGTCACTGGCACACTGACCGCTGACAGAAGCCACAGGACGAATGCTGAGGTCAAATGCATCAACACTAAAATTTTGTCATTCAGCAGGACAACTGTCCTCAAAACACAGCAAAGAGATTTCCAGGGTTAAGAGCTGGAATGTCTTGATTGGCCGAGTCACCTGATCTCAGCCTGACTGAGCAGCATTCCACCTGGTGAAGACCACACTGAAGGCAGAGAGACCCCACAACAAGATACATAGAGTCTGCTGATGTGTGTGGGTCAGAGGCTTTAAAGGATTTTACACTAAATATTAAATGTAATGAGCATATGATGATCAGTACCATGTACCCAGAAGTGGGTGTAGAGCTGGTGCAAGCACAGCAACGGCTCATTTTAAGCTATATACAGATAAATGACTTAAATCCCCCAATATTCAACCCAAGCTTACGCCCTTGACACCAGTTTTCCAGATACACAAAACAGCTATTTGGGCACTGAATTAAAGTCGTCTGCACATTCCTTGATAAAATAATGTAAAGAATTCAGTATGTCCTACCACCGTCCCTGATGTTCCCCCAGCCAGTGACGGAGCACACCATGCCACTTGGGAACAGCGTGTTAGATGTCGGCAAACAGACGGGACGAATGTTATCAGACCAGGTCACCGGGCTGCTCAGCTGCACCAGCGCCACGTCTCTTCCGTTGTTAGGCTCACTGTAACCGGATGGGATCACCACCTGTCGAATGCGATGCGATGACTCGTGCTGGTTATAGCCATCCAGCTGGTACCGGCCAGCATAGATGATGTAGGAGCTCACATCCAAAGGACTGAAAGGAGAAGAAGAGGAGGAACACTGAATAGAACCTACTAGATCCGATATGAAGAGGAATCTTGATGTTTGTAATATTCCTGGTAAAATGGCTTCAATTGCAAATCCTGTACACCAGCATTCACTTTCTTCTTCCACCAATTGCTGTTTCTCTGTTTATTAGCAGGATTACGCAAAAAACTACTGAACCAGTTTTTCTTGGATGGAAGTGGATTTGATTTCTAAAAAATATTGCGAGATTTGGAGATTTTTGTGAATTTCTCAAGAAATAATGGATCAGGAACAGGCATTTTTAGGAGACCAATATCTATGAGTGTGTGCGATGTGGTGTGACTTTAAGGGTGAATTGAATTGTTGGGCCTTGCCAGAGGTATGCGCTCTACTGAGTGACATATTAGTTGACAATGTTTGGTCCTCAGATATTCACCAGCTAAAGATTTAATGAATCACCTGTAAATGATAAATAGAAAAGCTTTGATTCCTCACATTCAATGAGTATGTGCATAATCTTACTGCTGAATATTATATGTGGAGAAACTAATTATTAAAACTGGATCAATTAGGAGTCAAACATGATGAAGTCAGTTTCCTGATTATGCACATTTCAAATAATCTACTTGAATAAGTAGACTTTCCTGGGGGGCTTTCTGCAGTTGCCCCGGCCAGGATTCAAACAAAGTGATTCAGACGGTTCGATAAAGAGTGTGTAACTTCTCTTACTTGGGGAAACAATGAGCGGCTGATAGGATCCAGCTCTCCGTGATGATGGAGCCTCCGCAGATATGACCGTCTTTGTCTTTCTGGAAGCCGAGGGGAAAGAGGGAGTGAGTCACCTTAGCATCACAGGCAAAACCCTCTCTCAGCAAGTTTGTACTCATCAACAAAACCCCAACTAACCCACTCAGAGAACTACCCACAGGCGGAAGTGATACTAGAGCTGGGCAATAAGACAATATCAATAAACATAATGACGATGGCTGGATCTGCTGGCATCTCTCAATGGAACACATCAATGCATCTACCCAACACAAAAACCCAGAATTTGATCTACCTCAGATTTCTAAAATGTTTTGCTGTTTATCTGGAGCAAAAATAAGTCTTTAAACTTCCGTTTTTAAAGTGAAATGATGTTGTGAAATAATAGTATGTAATTTTTAGCCAGATCATCCATCCCTAGTGTCACTTGCTTTACAAAGCTATTCTCCGCAGCTATGCTTTAGAGCAGACGCTGAAATACTCAATAAAGTATCTATCTATCTAGTTTTCTGTACGTCATCTACTTGATTACCTCGCACTTATTTTGGTCTGTGGCACTGTTTTTTGTATTTTTTTAAACACACGATCTTGTAATGTGACATTTATCATGATCATTATCATATTGACGGATATGTAAATAGTTACGTTGTTGTATTTCTTGACCTCATGTTCCAGTGAGAATTGGAGAATAGTGAGAATTCAACTCAATTTGTGCAGCACCAAATCATAATATGCATTATCTCAAGGGACTTTAAGGTCAAGACCTTAAAAATGATAGAGAAACCCATCAGAGAGAAAAAACTCTTCCATTAACTGGAATAACACCAGACTCAGTGTGGGCGGCCATCATCTGCCTGTTTGGATAAGCAGAGAAAAGGGTGGAACAGAGCGGGAGAGAAGAGAGAGACAGACCAGGAAGAGTTTTGAACCATCAGGTTGTTGTAATAAAAACAATGAGAGTGATAATTATGTCTGATGAGGTGTTTAACCTCAGACTGCTGTCGATATCAATAACATGAGATATCAACAAAGAGGGTCAAAGACAGCATCAACACATTCAAGGTGGTGAACATCACACAGATACACAACAGCAGACTGGAGATGCACCTGCACATCCACCTGCCAGGGCCAAGCCCCATCCTCGGCGTCCATGCCCCCCACGATCCTGTTCTCCAGTAACGGTGGTCGGCCACACTCTTGAGCGTAAGAGGCCAGAACCCCTGCGTAGAAAACGTAAAGGACATTCTTGAATCCCTCACATGGAGGCACGGTGGACATTACACAGCAGATTCAGTTAGCTTAGAGAGCTAACCTGGGGAGGGGAGGGGGAACAAGACAGCAGACAAAGGAGGAACAGCTGGGGGGGGGGGCGACACTCACCTGTGCTGAACCAGAACATGACCAGAAACCGCGAATCCGGCGACATTTTGGAAAGTTTCACGGCACAAAACACGTCACGACTCGTTTTTTTTTTTTTTAAAGCGAAGCAGAAGAAAACAAATCTGAAGTTTCTGAAACGTTTCTTCTTCTTCTTCTTCTTCTTCAATCTTCTTCTTGTTTCCAGCTACAGAAACCTAACAAGCGTCGAGGTAAGTTTCTTCTGTTTCTTAACTAAGTTGTTTCGTTGAATTCGTCAGATCCATGGCCGCGGAATCGATCCTCTAACGGGTCCAGGTTTCCCTCCCGGATTCCTCCCAGCCGCCGGTCAGCTGACTACCTGCGAGGGCAGCGCCGCCCAAACACAGCTCCCGCCCCGCCTCCCCCAAACCCACCTGAGCCAATGGCGTCGAGGGAATGTTGCCGCGGACCAATCAGATGCCGCCCAGCTGAACTTCTTCCTGTGGAGTTTATTTCTTATTTTCACTTTTTCAGATTTAAACTGAACATGTTGTTGTTCATTTGTACCGGAAGCAACAATTTAGATGAAATCTGAGGTAAGTGTTTTAATTTAACAGAATTTGCTTCTTTGTTCATGATATGATATGCATCATTAATAGTAATATACTATAATATGTTGAATTAACATCTGCATAATGGTCCCTGATTTTGACGCTTGCCCACATTTACTGACTATACTTTGACTTCAGTAAAATTATGAATAATGTCCTTTTAAATAGTATGGATATGGTAGTTTTACTGTACTGTAGTGTACAAAGAATATTTTATTTGAGTTATACTTCATGTGAGTTATAGTTACAAACAGTTTTGTTACATTTTAATTATATAATTCAATATGCTTATTCATTTGTTTATTTATTTATTTGTACACATTTTTTAGATACATTTAAAAGCTTTATCAAATTTTTAGGTAAAGGTAAAGGCCAGCATGTTTTAGGTGTTTGGGATTAAAAAAAGTAGCCTCTTATATGTGAATATTTAGTTTAGTTTAATAATATAATTTATCTTTCTGTTACTTTCCACGTCATACTTACACTCAATATATAGAAGCAATTTATGGCTTAAAAAAGACCACAAGTGTGACCAGGGTTAATCATTATAAGATGCAGGAAGCTCTTTTCACATTCTTCTTGGAAGTAAATACTCTGCTAATGTTGCATCACTTGTAATATCTCAATAACTATTATAGGCCTTGCATGAATTAGATTCCCCTCTTTGGGACATGATTGTTATGGTGTCATTGTAAACTCAGGGTTTAAGGAGCACTCCCATTTTCCTTGCTCCTTTTGTAATACAAATACAAACCAGTTTAACAAGTCTAAACTGGAGGAGAGATAACTGGATCATAGCACATAGACAGTGAATAACATCCTGCTGTTAGGAAAAACATCCAGGTCAGAACACTCCTATAAAATGGGTAGATGTGTGTATGTACACAGTAATCATGTGTGTTTATTGTTTCCAGTGATACATTATTTAACTGTTATATATTTTGTCTGGATGTGACATTAACATAACTTGTTTGTTTTTTCAGAGTGTGCCACACATCTGGGCTGTGGTTGTCCTGTTTTTAATGACACCAAAATTGTATTCCTCATGTCTGTCTTTAAAGCTGTTTGTCTGTCTCCCGTTTTCCTCTCTCTTCCTCTTCTCCCTCCCTCCCTCCCACCCTTCATCTCTTCCTCCCACCCTGCCTCCCCGCCCCAGGCAGTGTGTCTAGTTTCACAGAGCAATTGAAGGTGACAGGGACAGAGAGAGAGGGAGAGGGAGGGCGGGACAGAGGGAGGACACATCACAGTATCGCCTGGGGCTACACAACAGCAGAGGAAGAGCAAGAGATGGAGGGACAAAGAGAGAGGAGAGGAGAGACTCACGAAAGTACTCACAGGGAATTCCATACACAGGTAATGGAAAGATAAAGTTGCACAAAAGCAGTTGAAAAAGTGTGTGCAAGTAAGTAAGTGTGTGTGTTTGTGTCACACGTATTTGCCTCCAGGTCAGCTGATGTTCACTTTTTATCACTGGCGGCATATTTTTCGTGTGTGAGCCCCTTCCACTCGGCTCCTCTCACTCATAATATATGAACGCATTATAGGATCCAGTCAGTAAGAGCAATTATAATGCACTCCCGTTTGTTTTTATTTTAACGACTTGATGAATATTTGTCATGGCATTGTAACCATGGCGACTGCCTCCACCGCCGCCGCCTCCACCCGCCCTCCCCTCCCAGCCCCGTCCACCACCCCTTCCCCATCCCCCCTCCAGCGCCGAAAAAGCGAGGGATGGCGAGGGAGGGAAAGAGAGGGAGAGAGAGAGAGGTGACAGGAATGAACTAACAAGATGCACTAAAAAAAAATGCATGTCCTGGAGCTACATGAATCTTTGCAGTGAAGCACGCGCCGTCACACACACACAGCTCAACACACACACACACACACACACAGTATTGCACTCAGCACATCAGGATCACATAGGTTAGGCCACATTCCAACAACTGGAACACAATAAGATGTAATCATGATTTCTGAGTAAAGGAAAAAACAAACGGGTAACTGGCTAGAAAACAGGGAGTTGGAATAGAAGTGTATGTTGCTGAGCTCAGATTTAAATTAACCAGGCAGTTGTGTTATTCAACTTTCCCTCGTGTACTTCATTCTTTTCTCCCGTTTCTGTCCTCTTACTGAAAAATGTATTCAAGTGGTACAAATGTGAGATACTTACTTCCAGTTTCCAGCTTCTTTATGCATCAATTTTACAAGAGAAACACTGCAAGTTTTACTCAACCTCATTTGTTTGCCATTTATTTGTAATTATGATTTTGATTGTGGAAACAATATATCATGAATTTATAAAATATGTCATTATAGAATGAAGAAAAGATAAGATAATCCTTTGTTAAAGGGTATTACAGCAACCGAGGTACAGAATAACTACTGGTAAAAAGAATAGAATAATAATAGAAGAGAATAAAATAGAATATAGGTACAATTAGACCCAAAAAAACATTGATAAAGTGACATAATGATGATGAAAATACTCAAGAATACATTTAGTACCTTTATCAATCTCCACCTTAACAAGCTGCATATATTATAATGGCACATATATGTTTATTCATCAGAAATAATAATCAATTAATGCAATATATTAAATGATACCTGCATAATCAGGACTTCTTTTCATACATGAAGTAGATTTGCTGATACATATATACTTTTTGATTAGTAAAATGTTGATTACTGGCCTTGTACTTGTATTTGAGTATTTTAGTGGTGTGATTCCTGTGCTTTTACTGTACTTTTACTTCTTCCCCTGCTTTTACTCCTGTTTTTTACCTTTGAACTTGTCAAGTCCTTTCCTTTCTCCAAGGCACGTCTCGGAGGGAAGTAACAGAGGAAGAGGGGGGTTAGAGAGACAGAGCAACGGGGGCAGCAGAGAAAGAATAGCAGAGTATGAAAGAGAGAGGGAGCGACAGAGAGAAAGGGAGCGCAAAGTCTTGTCAACCGGAAATAAAACAAGCTGGCACCCTCCCCATCCCCAAGCCCCTACACCCACCCCAAAGTCACATACTTCCTCTTCACTCTCTCCGTCTCTACTCTGCCTCCCTGCTTCCATCTTCTATCTCTCTCTTCTTCTCTCCCTTCCGCTGCAGAGATATATTTAAACCCCGGTTCTACTCTGCTCTCGCTCTTTGACTCCACCATACATACCGTCATACCTGCGTCATTGCTCAAGCCTCACATCAGACCTTGTGTCTCTATTGCCGTGGGTTTCGGTGTGGTGCTCCTTCACTCGGGGGCCATACAGTGCCATTGTTTATTGTCCCCTAGCTTTAAGCTCAGTGTTTTATTGCAGGAGAACAATAGCTCTGTAGTCAGAGAACAATACCCAGGTAGTCCGAGAAAAGCTGCACCTCAAACTCAACAGGCCAAATGTACTGGTGCTGGGGTTTGGTTACATGCATCATAGCAAATATCTGATTAAGAAAAGAAGCTGAGCTGAAGCCATTAAGCAAATTATCAATTAGATGACGGACAGAAGACGAATCAATCATCGATCATTTTTCAAGCAGAACATTGGCCACTTCCAGCTTCTTATATCTGATAAGCTGCTGTATTTTCTTGATGTAAACTGAATATTTTTAGATTTTAGACTGATCACCATTAATGGCAAAATGAAAAAAAATGTTATTGGTATTTTTCAATTTTCTGATACAGACATAGATGCTGAGCATAATGTCGTAAAACATTTGATACAAGGGATGAGCTCTGATTTAAAAAATAATATAAAGAGAAAAATGTTCATATTGATAATTATCAAATTAAATGTCACATTATTATTTGTTTTAATTTTGAAGACAGATTTTTGCTCCTGAGTGAAGGTTGTGGTTTTTAACTCTTATTTATATGCAAAATATGACAACCACTTAATAAACGACAAACCATTATTTAAATCTGTGGTAGATAAATGATGTTTTATATCATCACTGTGCTTTAACGATGCATCAGCATCAACTTTGTTTTATTGCTAATTATGACAATTGCTATAATTATTGATATTGTTTTACTGCCCCGCTCTAAGATACTATCCATACCATGGTTATTATATTCTATCTATCTATCTGTATATCATCATGTTATATGTATTGTTATTTTAAATGCTTTTGTTTTAGTCATGAAACTTAAATTTGTCACTGCAATGCCTTTGCTAAATTATATATTGTTATTACTTTAAACATTAACATCAGGCTTTAATGTAATTTTAAGTGTGATATTACTGCGTAAATATTTTGTTTCTGCACAAATCGTTTTTACATAGTTTTTTTATGTTACAGATTTCACTCAAGCAAATAATCAAGGAATGTTTTAATACTACCAGTTATTTTTATTTAGAGACGTTTGTTTCATCATGATTTATACAAATATTTATTTAAACAATAAGAACAATCCATATAACAATGTGGTTGGCCTGATATTTATTTCTTAGTAATTACTAAAAATCCTTCTTCTATGCTTCTATGTGCAGCTGCAGAATCCAGTGTTTTACAACAGCAGCACAATGAATCATTTCAGCAGCAGATGCATGTGAACATATCAAAGCTCTATCAAAGTTTTAATTGATCTCTGCTGAGCATGTAAATGTGGATCAATGAAAACGAGTCCTGAGTGTGAACATTATATTTAATCTGATAATCTCAGTTGTCTGATTGCACACGTTTTAGTGTAAAAAATAAAAAAAATAAAAAAAAGACAAACACACTTGACTGACAATTGTGCTCAATATTGATGTGCAATTTATGGCTAAAATTGAATTCCATCATCTATTTATCATCCACTATCTCTCCATTATCTGGGCTTTTTGCTCGACTCTCTCGGCCTCCCCTCCTCCTCTTGCTGGCATTAAGTTCAAACTTGACACTGATGTTGACTCACTTTGTCACCCCTCGGTGGCTCTCCCTCTCTCGCCCTCTCTCTCTCTCCCTCTGTCTCTCTCTCCATCCTCCATCGCTTGGAGGACAAGAGTGCCCGCAGACGCATTTCTCTCCAGAGCACCCCCCCCCTCCCACCACTCTCTCCCTCTTTCACTCTCTCTCACCCTGTCTAACTCTCTCCATCTCTCTCCTTTACACAAACACACAGTATTGTCAACAAAGCTGGAGAACAAGGGAGCAGGGGAATAAAGGTCCACAGAAGAGGAGAGTAACACACAGGACCCCTGCATCATTTCATCTGGACACTTGGTAAGTTTTGCCAAAATGATGTGATTTGAGAGGTTTTGTGTGTTTTCGCTCTGAGATGTAACTTCTTTAAAATTCACTCCACTGGAGGCTTTGGGATCCACTACGCCACCAACAGTATTTATCATGTATTTTCCTGGAATTCAATTTAAAAAAGCACATACGTTAATTGTTGTTCAGGGGCTGCTCCATCCAAACGAGTGAAGTTTGACCTTTGACATTTTGTTGCTGCAGTAGTTGAGATTTGACTCGGTTTTGACACGTCGTCCTTTTCATTTCTGATTCTGCATTAAGCTAATTTCAATAAAACTGTGAATGTTAGATAAGCTGTTACATGTCAGAATTATAGACACGTTAATAAAGTCAGTGGATGTACCGCAGCTCTTACACAGAAAGTTAAACATGGGCTTGGTTGGAAGGTTTTATGGGATTTTTGTGCATTTTTGTGTTTGAATGCATGCAAGTGTGTGATGCCAGTTTGTGACTTCATATAAACGCAGTGTCTTTTCATGCATACGCGTGTGTGCGAGTGCAGGCTCCGGCTTCCCAGCAAAAATAGGGCTAAAGGCAAGTAGCATGATTAGAGTGGGTTCTAATGTACCTTTGCTCCCCACGGTATACCAGCGTACCAATGTATAACACACACACGGAACGACAGCACACACATAACTAACTCCATTTCTGTCTGTCATCGTGAGGCTAATTCACCACAATGCCGACCATGTGTGAACTCATGCGATATGAACCCCTCCTTCTCCATCTTCTTTTCCCTCCGTCACTCATCCCCCCCTCCACCCTCTTTTCACAGAGAAGGAGCGTGAGGACTGAAGGAGGGAGAGAGGAGCCAAAGGTGACAGTAAACAGGGGCGGATACGCACAGGACAGCACAGGACAGCACAGGACGTCTCGGCTTCTTTTCATGGTGTTTTGGACACTCGTAGCATGTATGAGAAGTTAACCATGCTGAACCTGCAGAGCGGCTCAAACTGGAGTGGGCCCAACAACTGGTACCATGACCCCACTGGAGTTCAGACACAACACAGCACAGGTGAGGGGAAATTTTCACATATGAGTGCTCACACATCACCACTTAGACCACAGAGAAATTAAAAGTAGCCTCTGCACTGTCTCACCAACTTGTTGTCAGCTCACAGTGTTAACCTCCCAATCTGTGACGTGCCATCGGAGGGATTTTTCTTGGCAATCACACATCTCTTTTGTCACCTTCCTCTCTGCCAGTGTCTGAGGGCTGTCTGCTGGACACCGAGGGGAGCATGGGGGGAGAGGCAGTGGGTGGAGGAGCGGGCCGAGGGGGAGGAGTACCCGTGGAGCGGGACGAGGGCGAGGAGTCTCAGCTGAGGCTGCAGCTCAAGAGGAAGCTGCAGAGGAACAGGACCAGCTTCACACAGGAGCAGATCGAGGCTCTGGAGAAAGGTCAGGCCATGCACGCACGCACAGCGCTCTCTTCTGCTCTTCAGCCAATCGCCCTCCAGACTGTGTCATGACGCAGCTTGTCCTGCCAACACTGTTGTCATTGGACTGGAGCCTTTACACCTTGTTTAGAGCTTTTCGGTGAATGGCAGGAGGCATAAATATGAGAAATCACAAAGAATGCAGATCTTAAGCATGTTTTGTAACTGCCTGCTGAATTTAGGTACTTTTTCATCAAACCCTGAAAGGGATCTGGGCTCACTTCCAGATGCAAATTCTCCAGATATTCTCATGGCCTCTGGCAGCAAGTGCAGCCGAGAGTTTTGATAATGCATCTACGTGGTTACATTATGCAGCGAGATCTGAACCCTTGCACGCTGACATCCACTGAGAGGGATCAGGAAGCCACCCTTGACTGGATATGGCTGCGGCAGGCCCCTGAGCTAAATAAGGACGCAATGTCCGCTGTGCAGCCGAGTGGAAACGTATCAGTGTGGTCACTCTGTGCAAATGACATTAATGAGGAACCCTGACCTCAGTGCATGGCCAAGGCACAATAACAATCATGTGTTGACACAGACGCCAATTAGAACCAAGCCAATTAGAACAATTTGTGAGACAGACTTAAGTCATCGGGTTGTTGTCTTTGTGCATTATGGATTTATCAACCTCGTGATACCAGAGTCATTCACAGCAGAGGTTATGTGTTCATATTATATCCTCAGCAATGTAAAAACATAATAACATTTTCAGCTGCAATTTTTCATGCATCCACATCTGTTTAAAACAAATCATAAAGTGATTTATAGTTTCTCTGTTGACATGTCACTGACATGTTAAACAAATGCTAAGCATCATGAGTGCAGACAGTTCAATCTGTGAAAGACGTCTCTGTTACTGGACGAGTTCATCCGAGTGACTCAGTGTCAGTTAGAAGGAGAGGCCAGTTCTCGTTTCAACTTGTCAACAACAAAAATGTCAGCAGTTTGTCAACTATAAATTAACTGCCACAATGAGAAATGATACTCTGCCACAGAAAGTCTCTTAGATATGAACGTTGAAGCAACTATAACACGAGGAGTTAACTTTCAGTAAGACTGTGTGCGTGTTATATACTGTGCAATAAGTCTACTACAGATTTCTAACACATACAATTACAATTCGAGATACTTTTTAATTCAAAATGACAAATGACGACAAGATAAAAACCTCTCAGGATTTTTCTTCGGTTTAGTTTTAGTCACTCGCCTTTGAAATGAAGTGCTTAGGCAGCTTCTCAACTTGAATCCTTTCATTTGAACTTTCCTCATGTTCCATAATGATAAATAATTTATACAAAGTGCAACAGATAAATATTTCAAATATGGTTGTAAGGATACATCTCAGCTTCCTGGATTTGTATATTCCACTGAAAGATAATTAGTCATGCTGATATTAAGCAGCAATTCCCCAATAAATCAGGAAATATCTGCACAAATAATGAGATTAAAGATCATAAATAAGCCATTACAATGTCAATATTACATTTTTATTTTCATATTAATAGAAAAATGCTCAGATGAATCCAAAATACAATAACACCAGGCAGGATGTGTTATGTGGCGAGCGGCTCTCCAGTCGTCCTGTCACCCTGGATTAAGACTCACACTGTGTGTTTGACATTAGTTCATATCTTCCACAGAGTTTGAAAGGACACATTACCCAGATGTCTTTGCGAGGGAGAGATTGGCAAACAAGATCGATTTGCCGGAGGCCAGGATACAGGTGGGGAGCGTCTCAGTCAACCTGTGACAACATGCCACCAATCCTCTGCTTTTAAAAAGATCTATTCCCACATGATGAACAGGCCTGACGCGAGTCTTTGATTGACAGGTGTGGTTCTCCAATCGAAGAGCCAAGTGGAGGAGGGAGGAGAAGCTGCGCAACCAAAGGAGGTCAGGGGGCGTGACTTCCTGTTCGCAGAGTCAAGCTCCTCTGACCACTTCCTTCAACACATCTGTCTATCATCAGCAGCATGGCAGCAGTTCAGGTAAACAGCTGCTCCCTGCACCTTTAACCCTGAATCTTAATTACATGACACTGCATGTATAATGCAACATGTGGTGTCTTATGATTTATATATTTGGTGAAGGACGTGTGTATATTTTTTTATAGTTTATTATTACAAACCTCAGAGATCTCCTGCTTGACATTTTCAGCCAAGCAGACTCTCAGAGGGTCGTCATTAGAGCACATCTATATTACAACATCTCTACAGCGAAATGTTCCCACCACATCTGTGTAAAGGCACAAATATGTCTGCGTGTAAGTGTATGAGTGTGTGTGTGTGTGTGTACTCACCATCTCACTCTGTGTGTGTGTCCCTCCCCAGGGTCCATGTTGAGTCAGGCTGAGTCGTCCCTGCCCAGCTACAGCTCCCTGTCAGTTTTCTCATCTGGAGTCCAGGTTAGACTTTCATCCTTCGTCAGCACCTTCCAAACTTTGAACAACACACAGTGTCATCACTCAGCAGAAGGGAGTCATACCAGTCTTATTCATGCTGTTGTTTAGATTTCTAATAATAATTAAAATAACAATGACGATAATGATATAACAAGGTGACTTAAACACACACACACACACACAAAGCTGCAACAATCCTTGATTGATTATATACCCGACTGAAAGATGTTCATCTGCAACTATCTTCATAATCATAATTTATTCTATGATAATTGCAGTCAAAAGATAACAGATGCATTGTATGTGTAACCAGGAACTTGAGGGTTAAGGGCAGAGGACGTCACACCTTGTTAAGGCCTATGAGGCGAATAGTGATTTGTGAATATGCGCTGAACAAATAAAATGTGATTTGATTGATGATTAAAAACTACAATTTAAAATCGCATGGTATCAACGGAGGGAGAAAAAACAGATTAAGGTTAAGATAAAGATCAATGAAATACTTTTCCACGTGTGATACAATGAATGTGCGTTACTCCGATCACTAACAGAACTCTAGCACCCCCATGTGGTTGAAGTGAAACTATACTGTCATTGTCTTTTACAGCACATGGTGAAATATACAACAATAATAAATCATTTAAAGACATTTTCCTATTTGATATAATTGTAATATAAATCTGATCTAAATCTTTCCTCCACCCCTCCACTCCTGTGTACACTCTCAGTCTATTTCTCCTCAGTCGGCCTCCTCCTACTCCTGCATGTTGCCTCCATCCCCCTCTGCCCCACGCAGCTTTGACTCATCGGCGTACTCCTCCCCTCATCTGCAGACTCCGTCCTCGGCCAACTCCAACACTGGTGAGTGTTTCTGAGGCAGATGTGGGTTCGTGTAACCGGGCAGACCCACTTCATTTATGTCTCTATCTTTCAGTGCTTACAGAAATGCATGGTCACTATAATAATTAACTGTTTTCCTCCCTCTGTCACTCAGGGCTCATATCGCCTGGTGTCTCAGTGCCGGTCCAGGTCCCAGGAACTGAGCAGCAGAGCATGAGTCAGAACCTGGGTCAGTACTGGGCCAGATTACAATGAGCAACAGACACTCATTCCCAACAAGCATAAGAGAAGACGACGGAAAAAAGGGCATGTGAAAAAAATGGGAATAAAAAAATACGGGGGACACATGTGGAGCACAGGTCTGAGCTAATGAGGGGTCTGGATGAGTTGCAGACCCCCAAATGCATTAAATGTTTACAAATTCAGCCGAGAGCAGCTTTGGTTGCACTTGACAGGACTCTGGTATTTGCTTAGTATTATCAGGTTGCGCTTTTTTTAATTAATGTTAATCATGGTGGAAGTGTATATTTTTAGGATTAGTTCTATTTAAGAATTAGATTTGGACCCTTCAAAAGTTTTGCCATATTTTACTGTGTCAAATATTTTGGCTTTGTGAATTATAGCGACAAACACAAAAGGGTGGATACCTGCCTGAACCCATAAATACCCCATGAGGAAGGGATAACTTTTCCAGCTTGTTCTTATCCATAGAGGTGGCAGGTCACTGCTTCAAGGTTTGAATCCCTGTGTTTTTTAACCTGGGCCCTATGTTTATAAATGTGGGAGTGTAAATGAATGGTAATTAGAAAAACCTTTGAAATCAGTAGCTAAGACAGAGCGTCTTTGCAACATACGCTTCATCAACATCATCAGAAAAAGATTCAGCTGAAATAGTTTCTCTCACCTCCACCTCCATCTTCAAAAGTACTTTCAATTCAAAAGTTGTGTCCTGTGGCAGTTGACCCATAGAATTACATTGTAGCTGCTGCCGTCATGTCGGGGCTGCTAGTGGAGACCATCTTCAAGATCGATTCCAACATAGACCTCAGGTGGAAAAATACCAGAATTCCCCAGAACCGTGGGCTCAGTGAGTTCTCAGCCCACAAACTTAAGAGAAAGAAAAATGTCTCCAAAGTTAGTTTAATAAAGTAAATTTAAAAACAAAACGCGATGTGAACTGTAGCCTTGCACATTGAAATCATCAAAATGTGACCAATCAGCATGATCCTATCAGTGGTACTACGTAAATACCAGCAGATGTATGTATTGTGAGGTGTAACCACAGTTTCTTGTTACTTGAGCAGCTCGATGATATTGTGATAGCTTGCTTGTTCCCCGAGCATAAGCTAGTGTGAAGCTACTGTGAAGATTTTAGACTTGCATATGGCAATCACTTTTACTAAAACTTTAAAAAAAAACCTACCATAAAAACCATGTAAATCCTGCCTATCCTGCCAGCGAAGTTACACTGAGACTCAAACTGCATATTTTTGTACAGACGTCTGTGTATGAAGAAGATTAACTGGACTATCGTCAGATGTTATCAGAGGGAAGAATGTAGCATGTTGTGGACTCAAATCATCCTCGAAGCACAAGTTTCATTTGTTATGAATAGGGACGCACCATATCACTGTTGGAATCAGATGTTGTGTGAAACATAAAAAATACTACAGATCATGTACAGGTTTTACAGATTATTACCAAAAACTACTCTTATGTTTTTTCTTCGTTAATGAATATGAGGATGTTAGTTTTTTATCAAATGTATAAAATAATCATCTCAATTAGAGACTTTTTTGGGGCGTATTACTTTTCATCACGCGTCCCAGTATTAGCACTAATGAAACATATCCATCAGCCAGTGACAATCAAGCATCGTGACAAAAAAGACCCGAGAGACTGACAATCAAAGCTGGAGGTAGAGGAGATCAAAATGTAAAAAAGAATAATAACAAACTGTGAAATCATTGCCTCACTGTCAATAGCAATGACTTTATCAACTGTGCATGACCAGAATAATCCGCTGTAGACAATCAGCTACTTGCAGAAAGGAATCAAGTATTGTACAAAAACTGTTACTGTCGTTTGCAGGGTTTTCTGCTCACTTTCCTCTGACTATTGGTTTCGTTGATGCATCTCGGTTTGATCTCGTATGAAATGTCTTTCAACTCTTATTTATTTGTGTTCTCACTCGTTCACATAAAGTCCTTGCGTGTTGTTTCTGTTGTTGTCGCGTGTCGTGTTAGCACTGTATAGCTACCAAGAGTCAACCCTTTTGTGAAGGCCTTGGATCCCTTTAACGAAAAATAAAGCTGTGCGTAATGAAAAGGTCTTTGTTTGTGTCGTCATGTTGCGTTTTACTCACGATCCATGTGCTTCAAGGATAAAAAAGTTCAAAGCAAATCAAAGCAAACAGAATTTTCAAAGTTTGGTATCATTAAAGCAGCTGCAATCCATAATTCTATATCAACAATCGATTGTTTTTGGTGGATGCATCATTCAAAGAGTTTTTTTTTTTGCTGACATCCAGAGGTTGAAGTTCCGGCTTAGTGGATTAGAAATGTACTTTGAAGGATGAAGGTGCTGCAGACTCATAGTTAAAAGATTTTCAAAATATCAAATATGTCCGATCTTTTCCATCTAGATGAATGAGCTATTCCCTACAAACTTAATTCCTTCCTCAGAAATAAACATTTCAAATATGTGCACAGGCTTTCCCTCTTTATGAACCATTATTCCATTAACTATAGTTTAGTTCTATTATTTGACATCTACAGGTACATGGACATAATATGAGACGTGTCTATAGTGTCTGATTATATTTTCTGTCAGGTACCTGTAAGAATACGCGTGTGTGTGTTTGAGGCAACATGCAGTGTGAAGGTAACTAATAACACCTGGGAGACAGAGTGTTAAAGCAGTCCCAGTTTGAGTCATTGTGATTAGCGTGCTGAGAAAAGACACTTTGCAGCATGGTCCTGGATGACTTCAGCCTGTTGTTGACAGTTTTTAAGGATGGATGACACGCAGCTCTTTTGCTGACTTTCAATGGAGTCTCACCTGGTGCCTGGGACTGTAAGTGAACACAGACACACACAAACACAGACTCAGTGGATTAAGGATTTATCCGAGACACAGAATGTCTTTGGCAGTTTTTAATGTAAATGTCTATTCCACTGATTTACACAGAAGATTTATTGTGATTTACAGAGTTTCACAGGCTGTACACTATACAACAGTTATATATAAGGCCTCGGTGAGCAGTGGACATCTAATGCTGCTTTAAATGCAAAGAATTATGGGTAAGGTGGTATCCAGCATCTTTGGAGTTTCATCCACACGAGGGTCCTAAAGTCAGGATTCCAATTTCAGCACTTGACTTTCGTGAGTCCTACAAGAGCCTGATAGAATATGAAATAGAACGAGGATTAGAAATAACTTTGGATGTGGTTCCATTTGTTTTGTTGTTTAACTGTTCTACGGCAAAATTGGAAAAGGTGTGCTCCGTTTACATTTAGAGGTTGAGTCACCTTAACGGCTTTCTCTACGTCAGTGCCTTGATGGCACATTTCAAAAACTGCCTCCTTCGTCCTCCTTGCTCCATCACAGGCCTCATTTGTATCGGAACCACACGAGATGTCAACCTACAGGTGGATTAGAGGATAAAAGACGACTTCAACCAAATCTTAACTCTCCACCCTGATGGTGTTGAAGGTGAGCAGACTGGCCCGGCGCTGTAATCCAAGCTTTTGTTGTCGTCCAAACACGGACATTAAATGTGATAAGATGCTGGTTGGATAATGACACAGTGCGACTGGTTCTCTGCACATACCAAGTCACTGTATTTACTATCAATATTATGGGTGAGACCTGAATCACTCTGTCGGAAGTATGTGTGTTCCAGAGAGAATTTGAGTGTGCATGTGTGTGTGCTATACATGCAATAGTCCCACCCATTATCAGGCAGCATACATCCACACACGTGCAGCTGTAAAGAGGTGGTGTGTATAAAGTCACACTTTTCTGCCATTCTGGGGTCACTTGTCACCGGTGTCGGCTTTGGCACGTACCTGCAGGAGGTAAGTGTCATTGTGTTATTTTGCGAATGTACATTTTTTTTAAATAGCATGAAAAATATAAACAAATAATGAAATTAAACAGATTATCTTCTGGTCAGTTCTGCAGTAAGTTGGCGAGGACAAGATTTTGTCTTCAATCTTGGTCTTTTTATAAACAATTTATGTCAAATTAAGACCCAGAAGGTATTTAAGATTGCAGTTTGATAATGATTAATAATGGTGGACAACTTAGGAGGACATTTAAACTTTGTTTGTATGTATATGTATGGAGGCTCTCAGCCATTCACATCAGGAGGTAACAAGTCACGAGAAGCGATTAAGCCTGAGACGCAAAACAAGACTTCTCAGCAGGTCCAGTGTGATTTCTTAATATATTTTAAATGTGCAAGTGTGTTTTATTCAATAGTTAAATTTTATGATGCAACTTCAGGGGAGTTACAATTTGTGTTTGAGTGATCGCAGAAGATAAAAAAACACAAATTTTGCAAGATTAAGAAAAAGACGACAGATTGTATGTATAAATAATTATCTTCCCTCATGTATATTAACCACAAAAATATACTCTCAGTTACATACACACATCTGTAGAGGATCCATACATGCACACACACACACACACACACACACACACACACACACAAATGTATGGACTGTAGACATTGTCTCTGTATCAGTCTGATCTGAATCTTCCACCCCTGCGCTCAGCTGTGTTTTGGAAATAAATCCCCCTTGTTGTGACTGACAATGTCAGCGTGTTGGTCCAATCTGAGATAAAATGGACACTCTGAGGATATCTTACATAAGACTGCACTCACGCTCCAACTACAACCTGAACCCACTTCTCCCATACGTGGAAACTTTAAAAAACAATATTCTCTCATTCATTCTGTCTCTCCACAACTTTGTCACAAAACACCCAGGAAAGATATCATCACTGTTATTGAGGAGTTTCTAACTGGGTCCATTGTGCTTGTTTTCCAGCTGCGTGGAACATTGACACCAACCCCAGTGCAGAGTGTCAGGTGAGGGGAAGACACACACACACACACACATACACACACACACACACACACACACACGGTATCCCTACTCCAGGCACAGGACATGTGTTGACAGTCCAAACATGCCCAGGACAAACCATCATCCGTGTCCTCACCGGAAATCATCAGTGGCCCAGATCCTGAAACCCGCTGGTTGTTGAGCCAGGACAACCACCATGTTTACCTCATAGACATTAAGTGTCACCTGGACCTCACCTCTACACGTTCGCCTGATCCACATCCCCTTTGATGCTGCCAAAAGATGATAGAAGTGATAGTGGCTCCTGTAGTGGAAAACAACACCCAAAATATCATCAGTGTTTTTGTATCGTAATGAAGCATGAACTTGTTTTTTTTATCTGATCGTCTCTGCGCAGAGGATTTTTTCCCCTATTTTTACAGGCTCATTATTATCATTTCAACCACTACTATTATTATTAATGGTTGTTGTGGTAGCAATAATTCAATTGACAGATTATACCAGTAGATTATAAACATTGCAACTGAATATTAATAATAGTGGCAAAAATTGTCACATAAATTTTACATGACTTTAAAGAAAGGTTTGCAGTTTTTCAAGACAAAACTTTATTTCAATTTCGGTTCAATTTACTAAATTATTATAAAAACTATTTCCACATTTCCTCGGATTAGAGGGAAGGAAAATATTCACATACCTGTGTCCACATTTCACTCATGGAGACACACCACCACAGCACCGCTGGTTTATAAAGGGTATTAAGTTCCCTTATTTTCAGTGTTGTATTTAATGTTACAACATTCAATGTCCATAGTACATAAGTGTATACTAAACAGAGACGTGCTAATCTTTGTTGCTGTACATGTTTGTGATGTCCATTCTCATATTTCTGATCTGATTCAAGCTCAAACACGTACCGATGGATTGGAGAAGCAGTAAAAAGGTTCTGTTAATTTGTTCACTGTTCTCTGACCGTGGAGTCCCAGAATAAAATTTGAGGGTTGGACATGGATGTATTTTCTGTGACCTTTAAGCTGTTCTTGCGTGAGGTGAACTTTTATTCATCCTCTTCACTTCCTGTCTCTCTGTGCCCTTGTGAAGTCAAAGGAGCCAATGACGGACCAGAAGCAGGAGGCCTACTGGCAGGAAACGGGCCGATGGGGGGGCTACGAGGAGAGCTTCGACCCTCAGTCCGGGGCGTGGGCGTCCCCGCACATCTCCTACCTCACCTTCAAGAGCCTCATCCAGCTCCGACGCACCATGAACACGGGTCAGTGACGGAAATCAGAGAAAACACGTGGAGTTTCTTTTTCGTTTTTCATTATAAAAGAATTTGTGTTTATATAATTCAGCAGATTCTTCTTCTCAGTTACAAGTTACTCTGTATTTGCAGAATCGAACATTATTACGAGGCAGTATTATAAAATAACACTAAATGTGAAGGTCACACGTTGATGATTGATTTCTCTGACACCATGGGATGGACTTGCCACGCCTCTCACCCTTCTCCAACACTTTCCTTCCTCAAGGCGTGACGATCTTCGACTGCGAAGAGCGGACCCTGGCCACCATCGCCGAGAAGATGGTGAACGAAATGGTTAACAAGAAGGAGATCAGGCCTGGAGACCGGGACGGAGTGCTGAAGGCTCTGCTTCAAAACCGCAGGTATCCTCCAGAAGACATCACCCGACAGTGACTCAAAACGCAAATGACCTACATTTAGGTTTTTAGCTGATGCTGTTATCCAAAGCTGAGACGGGGGACGTGTCAGTAACTCGCTCGGAGAAAGTTGAACGGGGCATGTAGCTATTGTGGAGGTCGACCTTGTAATTATGGTCTGTAACCACTAAACCACCCTGACTGTCAGTGCTGCACTGGCCTTGCACTTAACATGGTCACTGTGTCCAACAAGAAGACATGTTGTCACTGCATATCATAAAGGCATTTTAGAATATGTGTACAGATTTATCGTCAGGCCTTTTTATGTTGAAATATTCCCTGAGGTTTACGGAACAGGTCTCATGTCAGTCAGCTAAAGATGTAGATTCACCAGCTGCTGATCCACTGAATCATCACCAGCAGCCATTCAGTCTTCAGCCTGTCACAAACTCAGCCCATGACACATGTGGATTTCTCCCCTCAGCCAATCAGGCGACCCAGAAAGCCAGGCGCTGACTCATGGGTTGGACCTGCACAGGTTCTCAGTCAAGGAGAGGGTGAGTTGTTGCTGATATCATAATCTAAAATCATGACACTGATGAGATGATGGCCATGATCTGGTAAAAGTGACTCCTGCCAGTTTAGAAAGTTTCATTTTTTATGAGCTAACATTTAACACATGTTAAAATGTTAATGCTCATATTGTAAATTGGTAAAAGTGCAAAAATACACAGTTAACGATGTATTGAAATAATTCATCGCAGCTTGTCTGCTTCATTTTCTAGAAGGAGCTCCACTTTAAAAGTGTCATTTTACAGATGTAACTAAAGTTGGTGTTTTTGGTTTCTGTAGAAGGATGAATCTGACCGTGATGAGGCCTCTTTGGTGCTAATAGGTGAGGCACTGTTTCCATATTTCATTAAGGCTGTAGCGTGTGTGTTTATATGTGTGTGTTTTGTCAGCAGATTTTGAATGTTTGTGTATTTGTTGGTCAAATGTGTTAATTCTCTTTGAACAAGGAGCCTTGGACTTTCTGGAGAAGCCCAGCGTCGCTTTTGTGCGCCTGAAGGAGGCGCTGGTGCTCGACTCGTCCTTTGAGACCCCGGCACCCGTACGCTTCATCTTTGTTCTGGTCGGCCCAAACAAGACGGACATGGACTACCACGAGACCGGCCGTGCTATGGCAGCACTAATGGCTGACAAAGTGAATTCTCCCATATTTCTGTTTCAACATTAAATTAAAGATATGTTGACTTTTATAGAGGTTTGAAATCTGCTGCACTCTTCTCTCCAACTCAGGTGTTCAATCAAGCGGCGTTGAAGGCAAAGAGCGCCCGGGAGCTGACGGACACCGTGGCCGACTTCATGGACTGCAGCATCGTCATCCCACCCACCGAGATCCAGAACGAAGCGACTCTCAGCTCCATCATCAGCTTTCAGAAGAAGCTACTTCAGGGCCGACTCCAGGCCTCCAAGCCCATTGTCCCTCTGGACTCCAAACCTCGCAGGGGTGGGTCCCATCAGAACACAAAAGTGCAACATTCGACACGGACAACACATAAACAAAAACAATTATGTGATGGAATCATTTTAATACAAATGTCAATTATTCACATTATAATTGTTTTATCACAGTTTCAATCGCTAGCGGGTCTTCTCCTTCAGAAGACCCGCTGTCTCGTACGGGTCGCCCATTTGGCGGGATGATTCGGGACATAAAGAGACGCTACCAGTACTACAAGAGTGACATCACAGATGCTCTCAACTCCCAGGTCCTGGCTGCCATCATTTTCATCTATTTTGCCGCCCTGTCTCCAGCCATCACCTTTGGAGGGCTACTGGGTGTGTGTTTGAGTGTGTTTATATTTGTATACAACATGAATTGTTGTTATGGACCCATATGTTTCTAACCCCATCATCTGTCCCACTTCAGCTGATAAGGTGGACAATATGATGGGCGTTTCAGAGCTCCTCATCTCCACCAGCATCCAGGGGATCATCTTCTGTTTCGTTGCCGCTCAGCCCGTCCTGGTCATCGGGTTCTCTGGTCCTCTGTTGGTGTTTGAGGAGGCCTTCTTCGCTGTGAGTTGTAACACTGAGTCATGATCCCTGCAAGGTGCACTTTAGAGTTATTTTTCCTGCTGATCCATTTCATCCCACTGCTTCATTAAGGCTCGTTGTGGCCTTTAATTCTCTGTTTGATTTATATATTTTACTTTGCACACTAGACAATAAGAATGTTTATTCAGTGGAACCTTGCGTTTGATAAGTACTTCTCATATCATGGCACTTGGGCGGTGTGCTTCTGTTTGCCAGATCTGGGCCACAAGCAAGCCAAAGCCAAACTGTACAAAGGTGGCCATATTCCCCATTTACCACATGGGCCACTTTAGGTTCACAAGCAGATTACACCTTGCAGAGAGCACTGCATGTTTGCCAGAAGAGGCCCATATTTGTTTTGGGATATTTGGGCCAGATGTGCTGTTTCACAAGTGGCTCACACATTTTTTTCCAGGCCACATCATTGCCTGAAGTGTGTTAAGGAACAGCAGCATCAGAATGTAGAAAGCTAAAAATGTCCCCCATAGCTGTCTTTTTTTTCTGTCTTTCCCCACTTTGCTTCATTCAGTTCTGCAAGTCCCAGGACATTGAGTACATTGTAGGGAGAGTGTGGGTCGGAGTGTGGCTGGTCATCATCGTGGTCGTCATTGTGGCCTTTGAGGGCAGCTTCCTGGTGCAATTCATCTCGCGCTTCACCCAGGAAATCTTCTCCATCCTCATCTCCCTCATCTTCATCTATGAAACCTTTGCCAAGCTGGCGAGGGTAAACCATCCACATCCATTTCACACGTTTCATCTGTCCAAACGAAATCACAGATGATTCAGCTTCTAATCCTCCTTCGTGTTTTCTCTCCAGATCTTTAAAGCACATCCACTGACTCTGAATTACATTCATCTGAATTCAACTTTGGAAAACCCCTGGCACCCACAGATGGAAGAGACCGTCATCTTTGACAATGCCACCGGCAACACAACTGTGCTCATCCAAACTATTAAGCCGCCTTACCCGAACACAGCCCTGCTCTCCATGTGCCTCATGTTGGGGTGTTTCTTTATTGCTTTTTTCCTGCGGCAGTTTAAAAATGGGACATTTCTTCCTGGAAAGGTGAGTTGGCTATAATTGTTTACTTAAATTTCATTTTAATCTAATCTAATCTAGTGTCGTTCTTGTTTTTCTGCCATTTATGACAGAATGTTTTTCTCTATAATAATGTTCCTCATCTGTGCTCACCAGGTGAGACGTTTGATTGGCGACTTTGGAGTCCCTATCGCCATTTTCCTCATGATTGTCGTGGACTACAACATCGAGGATACCTACACTCAGGTTGGGTCTCACTTTTCCAGTTCATGGCCTGAATTCATGCACAATATTAACTAGTGGCTTTTTCTGCGCAGAAACTGGTGGTTCCCAAAGGTCTCATGGTGTCTAATCCAGCCAAAAGAGGGTGGCTCATCAATCCCTTCGGAGAGCACAAGTCGTTCCCTGTGTGGGTGATGTTTGCGTGCTGTGTCCCGGCCTTGCTCGTCTTCATCCTCATCTTTCTGGAGTCTCAGATCACAACGTGAGTGATTCAATCTCATTAAAACCGAATACATGTTTAGAAAATGTGACATTTCGTACCTCTCACCACAAGCTTGATTCCAATGTTGCATCTGTCAACAGTTTGATTGTGAGTAAACCTGAGAGGAAGATGGTCAAGGGCTCCGGGTTCCACTTTGACTTGCTGGTTTTAGTTGGCATGGGAGGGCTCAGTGCGATATTTGGCGTGCCGTGGCTCAGCGCCGCCACGGTGCGGTCTGTCACCCACGCCAATGCCCTCACTGTCATGAGCAAAGGACCAAAGCCTGTGATAGAGAAAGTGATGGAGCAGAGGATCAGTGGCATTCTGGTGGCTTTGCTGGTCGGTAGGTGCATTTTAATCCTGAAAAATTAATGTTTGTCCTACGGCTGCTTGTCTAGATTGGAGTCTGAGACGATACCTTCAAACTGAGAATATCAGAATTTCATCCCTTTTTAAAAGTTAGTAGATCATCCTTTATCTACACGTCTCTTTGTATTAAGGTTTGTCCATTCTGATGGAGCCAATCCTGAAGATGATCCCCATGTCGGCCTTGTTTGGGATCTTCCTCTACATGGGAGTCACGTCGTTGAATGGCATCCAGCTGTGGGATCGTATCCTCCTTCTGTTTATCCCGAAGAAATACCACCCTGATGAGCCCTACGCCACCAGAGTAAGACTCCTGATGATTATGATGCTAAAACTAAACAGGATTACAGGGTTCGGTAAAGTTTGTTTATCTTGTCACAGGTTAGCACGGGGCGAATGCACTTGTTCACGGCCATCCAGGTAGTGTGCCTTGCACTGCTCTGGATCGTGAAGTCCAGTCCAGTATCCCTCGCACTTCCCTTCATACTCATCCTCACCATCCCTCTACGCATGTTAATGACGGGGCATCTCTTCACCGAAATGGAAATGAAATGTGTAAGTGGTTTCTTGACATTTAAAAACTTGAATGATGACATTCAGACCTGTTCAGAGCTCTGGATGAGCCTCAATGGTTATGTGGAACATGTGTGCGTAGTAATTTATCTGCTTTCATCCTAACGACTTTATTCTTCTGTACCTGTTCAGTTGGATGCTGATGATGCCAAAGTGACGTTCGAGGAGGAGCCGGGGCAGGATGTATACTGTGAAACTCAAATGCCATTGTAGATGTCTTCCATGTCTGCTGCCAGAAATCATTTATTCTAACAAAAAGATATTTATTTTATTTATAGTTCAAACTATATAGTGTCCACAATCTATGAGCAAAGACTTTTTTTTAAATTGAAAAAATGCAGCTATAGATTGTACCTGGATAGTGTCAGTATGGATGACAATGATATATTTCTGAGAAACTGTCAAACGTCACTCAGGTGAAATATTTGCATTGCACGTGGTTTTGTTTTTAAGTGCATTATACGCCACTGAGGCTGGATATTGTATGATATTGAAATATTTTACAAAAAATTGATACATTTCACATAATTTAAGTCATGCAAGCACAAAGATTGGTGGAAAGTCTTGCAATGTTGAAGCCAGAATTGTGTGTTTTCCCATGCAATCGCACATTGAATGTAATGTTGCACAAAGTGGCACCACTTAAGTTATTGTTGCATTCACCTGTTTGATGTGGATAAAACCCAAACTCTGAATGCATCACAAGCTAATTATGGAAGTGTTTGTATTTCATCAACACTAAATGACAACACCACTGTATGACAACTCGAGGAGAGAGAACTGTGGAATGAAAAGTGTGTTGATGTAAAGTGTGTGTTTTTTTTTTCTTGCCATCGCTGTATAAATGAAAAAATAAAAACTACCTCTAAAAAGACACATCACGTTTGTTTCATTGACATGTGGATATCTTTCTGTTGTCTTAACAGTGGGAATAAA